CAAACTTTATATGGTTGCGAAAATGATATGAATTTATATTTATTAAGAGATTAAGAATATTTGATGATATTCATTAGTCAAGCGCTTAGCGAATAATAAATGGAAAATGACTGCGAGGAGGAGGGGGGGAAGGAAGTGAGGGTGAGTGGAGGAAGGTTTTTCAATTAAAATTAGCTACTTACAAAACGTTATTAAAAATATATGATATTCATAATCCACGTACAAAGCCAAGCCAAATGATGCAATTTCCTGAAAAACGTTTTTTCGTCATAACTTCTTGCCCTTGGTCCTCCTCAGGAATCGAGCGAAATTTTTAGAATTTCTATTCAAAGCCAATACTATATTCGTAATCTACGTACGAAACTGAGTTCAATGATGTATATTTAGCAGAAAAAAAATTTTCTCAAAAATTTGTGCCTTTGGTCCCCCTCAGGCACCACTAATGAGAGTAAATTGAATTTTTTGTGGGTTTCGAGTGTTTGCTGCCAAGTTTCTTTTGTCAATTTATAGGTTTTAAGTGATGCTCTTTACGATGGAATAGTCAAAATCTGGATGCCTTAAGTTCCCCATAAAGTGTATTTTTGTCCATTATATATTAAATACTTTTCTATCTGGACTAATAAATCTTTTTCTTGTTGTAAAATAGAAACATACTTAACTATATTTTTAAAAAAAATAAATATTAAACCTGGCGATGATGTTCATATTAAATTGATTTTTAATATTAGTCGTTTAATATTTTTCTTTTTAACATTAGTCTATAGACCCGTTTTTCTCACGTATATACTGCAACGAATAGCTATTTAAAGGATAAATATACCTCATTCATACATATACATACATATACGTTATGATGCGCGAAAAAAAAACTTGAATGAGCGTTACTGGTGCAACTTTACAGATGACTGGAAGTAAAAAATCTAGATAATCGGAGATCACTGATATTAAGACCTATGACAGATGACTAAGCTAGTAGTAAACGATATTTGAGAGAAGCAGCCATAATTGTCAAATAAAATAACTACTTATTCTTTATTAGATAACATATTCTGGTTCCAGTCACTTCTTAGAGCCATTTTCAAGAGAAATATACAGTATACAGCGGTGGCTTTATATGCTATGATTTCAATTAGTTTTTCTCTTGAAAATGTTGGGTTTGCTACATCTTTTGTCTAACATAATAAATCAAGTTCCATTTTCTGAGTTTGAATTATATCGTCTTTGTTCTCTACTGGATCTAGTTTGTCATACGACCTAGAAAACATAGTTAGCTATAGGCAAAAACTAAAACCTTTTTATCACTTTTATTTCTTTTTTGTTGAAGATTTTTCCAAAAGAATGTTATCGACAGGTGACCTTCAAAATTGCTTAAGAAAGTTGCAAACGGAATTGCGTTTAATCAAATTTCGGGACGTTGATTACAAATCGTAAGTTCGAGCCGTTTAACAGTAATCAATCATGTATTAAATCGTTGTAACTTATTTGATTACTTCCAGGATGAAATCTGGCAATCCTTGTGAATTACTGAAAATCTATCATTATGCGTTTTTGGATTACAGTCCAGCTTTCGCGAAAAAATTATTAATGAAATGTAATTGTGAATTGTATGGAAAAACAGATAGCGGATTCATTGATTCAATGTATAAAGTAAGATATCTACTTATCTCATTTCATTACAATCAAAAAGTTGGCCCATTTTATAATAAGCGTTATCCTTCCAGAACACAAACGAGATAAATTATATTATAGTCTCCAAAACTTAAATTAATGACAACAAAAAAGAATCAATTTTAGATGAACAGAGGCTCGAACACGTGATATTATCGAAATTCTTTTTAGGCCTTACGTGATTATTTCAATTATAAACCACCATTAACGAAAGAACAATTTTTTACAACGGGATTTACTGAAAGAAAATTACAAATGGCATGTGATATTATCTCTATGATAAGAAATGAATGTAAAGACGTAATTCAATCACAACAAACACAAAGCATAAGAAGACCAATGTCAGCTTTAGCTAAAGTAAATAAACTCGGATTACAGTAGGCTATAAAAGAACAAATATTTTTACGGCTTTCCGCATTGTCATTCCAATCGCTGCTTCTATTCATTCAGCTTATTGACAAAGATGATAGATATCCCAATGGTGTTTCACCATTACAACGTATGTTATAATTTGTCTTTGCACTTAAGTTATTCATAATACTCAAAATTTCCATTTTTTTTAGAACAACCTCTTACATTTTATCCATTACATGATATGCGCTTAGAAATAGATGATGATTTAAATCAACGACAGTATGATATCAATTACGAAAAACAATATGATCAAGAGAATCAAGTAACAACGTTGCCACAACAAAAAAGAATCGAAAATTTGTTAAGTCGTTCAAATTCCCATCTAGGTTTGTTTTCTATTCATGAACTTTTTTCACAATATTAAAATGTTGTGGTATTGAATTTCTAGAGAATGCAGTTAATAATAGAGAATCAGTAGCTTGTCAAACAGACACTGTAGATAATTTAACAACAATCAGTCGACTGGAAGAACAAATAAAAATATTAAAAACTAAATTGGAAGATGCTTATTCTAAGTTAGACAATATAACTTTGTTATTACAGGGAAACGTATGAACAACAAGCGTATGACCATGTAAAATATAATAAAACATTTTGTTCATATCTAGAATTTTCCATCGTCTGATATTCCAAATTTCAATGCTCGTTTAATTATTATTGAAAACGAATTAGCTATGTTAAAAAATAAAACGTCATTAGAATCTATGTCACACTTACAAGTAAAATGAACGATTGTCTTCTATTATCAAAAAAAAATTTGCTTTGTTTATTCTATCACTAGAACACAAACAATATTGAAAACAAAGTGACAATTCAATCAAACAAAATGCATAGGCCTTGTGTATCCCAGGGCATTCTTGTCGGTATGTTGAATAATCAATTGTAAAATTTCTTATTAGTATTTTTCATCTTTTATTTAGATTATACTGATGATGATACTGCACAATATGCTGTTAGTATTATCAAGATATAAGACAATAAATTCATTTACTCTAATGTTTTCTGTTTCCAGAATAACTATTACCCGAACGATCATAACATTGTTGATAGAGCCCGATCATTATTAGAAAAGTAAGATAGATTCGCGAAAAATGTGACAAAAATTATTGCAGATCAATTGTCTTGTTTAGCGCAGAACAATGTAATCGTGAATTATTAAGAACAATACAAACAAAATGATGTAAAACAGTGTTGCATTAGTCTTGCTGTTTGTATGTTTGCATGACTAGAGAGAGTGTGTTTATTTTTTCCGTAGATTAGATAATATAACAACAAACGTTAATTTTGTACAAAATGTATATTTCAGAATAATCTAATTTATTCTTTAATACTGTTGTTTTAGTACGATATATAGTATTTCTACCTTTTGTTGATTTATTAGTTTATTAAATTTTAGTATTTGCACACAAAAGTGATATTTCGGTCCGTACTTTAAACTGATTGTCAGATTCATTTGCTTATTGTTGTAATTTTGAAACATTTCCGTCCATATCTGTTATACGTTTTAGTCTAATAAATTGAAATTCAACCTGAACTTCTTTTATGTCATGCATATTTTTTTCTTTCGTAACTTGTACATGAGACAAACTGTCAATGCCAAATTGGATTGACACGAGTTGAGAGTCAATTTTGACAAACCTATCGTTTCCTGTCCGGTATGTTTTTGTTTTTTTGACTTACTTTATCAACGTAGGTGGAGAGAGATATCAGATTTATACATTCCATTCCGTAAATTTAGTGAAGTTAAAATTAGTGTAGAGTTTAACAACTAAGTGTCATGTCAAGATGCGTCAGACTAAGCAAAAACTCATCAGACAAGGGAAAAAGAATCAATTGACAAGTCAATGAGCAATCTTACTTTTTCTTCCATGAGTCATATTTTCATGATCGATCGAGATTACTTTTTCTTAAAACTTTCGCGTCTCTTACACGCGCCAATATTTAGACATCCTTTGTGACGACTAATCAAGAAGATTAAAGACGGTGAACAGGTAAGAGGGGAAAAGTTTCCTAAAACATTTTTGATTTTCTTCGAGCTAAAATATGTTAAAATGATTTTACGAACATATTCCATCTCTTAGTTTTTCAAAATTTCTCCATTAGATTTTGACGCCTGTAGGATCCTCTCATGATTTCTAGAAAATAGTTGTTTTCGACTATACATAGACTAGATGTAGTTTTGAACCCCGATCATCAATAGTACGTAATTAAAGTTAAACGGTATTCTAACATCCTTTCCTCTTAAACTCAATTTTTATTTAAAATAAATATTTGATTTAAACTATCTGTATATTCGACAATTTAACCCGTTTTCGATAAAAAATTTAAACGAATAACAGTACAATAGCAATACATTATAAAGGTAGGATCCTATCAGATACAATCGTGCAATAAACTAACAGTTTGATTACTATCAAAAAAACTGGAGCAGAAGATGGATGTTGCATTTATCATATTTATAAATGAAACTAAATGTTAATCTCGAACCAGTTGAAATGTAATGAATTAATGTATCGAAAAACAAGAGGAACAATGATGATTTGTAGAGTATCGAAAGGATTGACTATGACATAACGGAGATCTTACAGTTAAAACGACACTGTAACATGAAATCTCTGCATTCATCATTTACGATAAAGTCTTGTAGAAATTGATGTATCGACCTAATTGACGTATGCAAAAAAAAATTAACAGAAGAAATTACATCGCCTATTTTGGCTCAAAACCTTATACAAAATTCAGTTCTAATCTGTTTTTTCTTTTTAAAGCTGAGTTTCTGTATAAACCATTAAAAAACGTTTTTTTTTTCGCTTCTAATTGAACAAAACGATAAAATATATTCCTCAGAATGCCAAATATAAACCGCTTGCTTAATCTGAAGACAAATAGTTAAGATTTCGTTACTTGCTTGAGGGGATAAATTATATTCCCATTGTCATAGGAATTTTTCACACCATAATATACATGCGTTGAATGACTCTGCATTTAATTATTATGCACAATAATTGATAAAAGCGTATGAAATTAAAGACAGAATAATGAGAAAAAATGGATTTTATCACCATCCATCATCTTCTGTTCTTTCTCTTTATTTTTATAGCAGATGAATGTCAAATGTCTCTATTCTCATAAATTTCATATATATTCTCTATTTTATTGAAGTATAGTCTGTAATATTCTGGCTTTTTTCTTAAATGTTCGTCATTATTTAGATAAAAGACTTTTAATTTAATAGTGCAGCAATAATTATTTTGTCCATCATAGCGAATAACACATGAATTTTTTCAACAGGATAATTAACAACATTTTCTAATAATTTTTACGAACGTATGTAACCACATTTTATTGTCTTTATATTAATATTTTTATGTTTTTTTTATTTTTTAGAATATTAAAAATGTTAAATACAATATTTGAAAATCAAAATATTCAGCTAGTTTTACCAACTTGAAAACTGTGCGTTAAAAAGCATAGTTTTCCTATTGTTGATAATGAACGCTTATTCCGTTATTCACACGCAATCTATAAGTTTACGTTGTGCTGTTAAATTTTCATGGTAACAGGTAAATTATTTTTAGGTCTAGAAAAATGTGAGAATACTTCGATGGATGGAAGCATTTGATCAATAAATATAGAAAACGTAAGTTGAGTACCTTGTTTTTTGTTCGTCGATTAATCATTTCTTTTGTTTAGATTGTCTGTCTTTCTTATTTAACTCAGTACCGATGTTATCAGTTTTATTGTTCAACGAACAACGGCTCCCTGTTTTTTCGAGAAAACTCAAACAATACAATATTTTTCTAATTAGATCAGCATCTAAAAATGTTTTTTGTACAACTTTTCTGTATTAAATTAAAATGAAATATCGTGTAATGATCCATTGTATATGAAAAAAAAAGGTAAATGATGATTGTAGTCTTCTAATTAGTCGGTTTGTAGGTGAAAATAAATGGTATGCATTATGACTGGTCATACTTGTTTCTTCATGCTTTATTATCGATTGATCATACTTTGGTACACTTTTAGGATGTTCAATTCATTCATTCGCTAATTACTGTAGGTAATGAGACGATACAAAAACGTAATATACGTTGAAATGATAATTAAAGTCAGATAAATTGTTTATCGAACTTATCCAAAACCACTAACTAACTCTTTGGTGTGCTCTATGTAAGAATTTTTTAAAATTTTTAGATATATAAGTTATATAATGGCTCGTTTCGAATTTTTGCAATTTTGTATTCTTATGCTTGCCATACCTGTTCAATATCTAATTGTATCGAAATGGTCGCTAAAAGGGATCGAACAAACCCAAGCATTAAAAACGTATGTTCCTTTTTATCTGTTCACTGCTCTGTTCTATTATGCCTTCGTTTACTATTATTTATTCATCGGTTTCTTTAGATTTACCTCTCAGATAACTAATGGAATTAATTATTACTTTTCGTACCACACTTGGTTCAATTGGCTCATTAGTTCTGTACTCGAGATTCCATTAGGTTTTAATCCATTTATCCATCCTCAAACGTGGAGACGTGGTATTGAATCCCCTGCATCAGAAGTCTATCTTCACCGAGAAAAATATGGATATTTTGGAAGTATATCAACGTTTTGTTATTCAATCTACAGTAACTGGTTATATGAGTTAATCTTTTAGACTCGCCAGAAACTCGTTCATCCCGCCCAGAAAATGTTAAATACCGTGTTGGACAAGTAATAAGACATAAACGTTATGGATATAGAGCGGTCATTATTGGTTGGGATATAACAGCAAAAGCACCCGAATCGTGGATCAGTGAACATCATCATGGTCATCCAGTGAGTATAATCCCAAAACATTTGCAGTACTGGTAAAATAAAGTTCATCTTTGGATCTTGAGAACTTTAAATTTCAAATCTTGTGTAGGGATCTAGGCCCACTTATATGCTGATTACTTCACGCATATAAGTCTCTCTTATCGTGTGGTCGTATGAGATAATAATTCCTTTTGATCAGCAAAATGCTAATAATTCCTGATCCTAGAGAGGTAAACACTAAGGTCAGTCACTATTAGAATTGAAAACGTTGGCTCCGAGTGATTTCTAGAAATACAACGATTTTATGACAAATGGTGACCGTGTTTTAAATTCGATGAATGAGAAATACTATTTATAGGAGAGTTTTTTTATTAGAACAATTTTTGAAGTTCAGTCGGTGTGCATCATATTCATGCAGTCATAGAACCTATGGCAGAAAAACAGCAGTTGAAACATTGTCGGAAACTTTAGTGAGAGACTAAAACTCTCTGATATTCTTTCATCTACTTTTTCTATCGATGTGATTTTATGATGTAAATTAAATGCACATTTTGTGATAGAAAGAGTGGCTCTTCATCAAGCTCGCTTCCCTGTGCATATTTCAACTCATTCTCGATCGATATACAACAGTGGATATTGACATTTGGAGAAAACGATCTACATAAATATACCGAGAGTAAAATGTTTCCTGAGATTTTTGAGTTAAATTTATGTTTGTAGACTGGATAATTAAGCTTCGAACTGTTATGCATAGCTCATGAGCTCAAGAAAGGACTTTAACTTACTCAGCACTGTATAATCAGATAAAATATCAATCGAAAGTCTTATTTTAGGAATATAGTACACAGCCGAACTATGCTGTTTTGCTAGATACGCGTGATCGTAAAGCTCATAAAACGTATATACCTCAAGAAGAAATACAAGTTGTGACGAGTACTAAGGTAATTATTGTTTAACAGCTAACTTTTACTGTACTATTGAAGTTTCATCAATATTTTTTAGATTGTAAATGCTCAATTAGAGGATTATTTTGAGTTGTATGATGGTGCTCAGTATATAATGAAACCTTGGATGAAAGAGGTGTATCCACATGACTGACAGCGCGAACAGACATACTTTTTTGTTATTATTTATTTTGTTAGTTTTTCTATTTTTAACATTTTTAATTAGTGCTGTTATTATTGTTTTTCTCATTTTTTTTCAGATTTGATTTCGTACTGATAATATTTAACTGTTGTACGTTTGAATAACGTACAATGCAATGAATTTTTCTAAATATAGAGCGGTGTAATCGCATTTTTCTGTTTTTTAAAATAAATAATAAACGTTGAACTGGTGAAATAATGTGGTAATTCTTCATTTTTCTAAGATAGTTTTTGTCTAGAATTATGTCAACAACAACGAAACTTACTTTTGTTATTGACAATGGCGCCTATTCTGCAAAATCAACATTTAACAATGTTGACAAACCAAAGTATGTATTGCGGGAATAATATGAAAAATAAAGGATCATTTATACATGCTATGACATTTAGATATATTTTCTCTGTTTAGAATAATTCCAAATTGTGTTATGAAATCAAAATTTTATCCTAGACGAGTTTTTATTGGTGAACAAGTGATAACAGAATGTCCAAATAAAACAAGTCTTTATTATCAATTACCATTTCAAAAGGTAAAAAATTCTACTTCATCTGTCAAAAGACTCACTCTTTCTCTTATTTTAGGGTTATTTAGTTGATTGGAATGTACAAAAAAGCGTGTGGGATCATCTATTTTCCAAAGTATGTGTCATTGATACACCGATGAATGATATTTCAGTGTCATTATTTAGATTCCGTGTAAAACAACTGGTTTATTAATTACTGAACCGTATATGAACATGAATTTTATTCGAGAAACAATGGATCAAATATTTTTTGAAGAATATGAATTTTCATCATTGGCAAGATATGATCGTAAATATCAACTGACATCTGTCCTATTCGTTTTGTAATGTAGTTGGCGTATGTGTGTGTATGTTTTTTAGCAGCCTCATTCAGTGCATACAAATATCAGAATGAAACAAAGTCAAATTATGTGCTTGTTGTCGACTCTGGTTATTCATTTACCCATATTGTGCCATTTTATCGTGGAAAAAAGATTTTGGAGGGTATTGTTAGGTTAGTAAAATCGAATTATTGTAGTTAAATGAGATACTCGATTTGATTTACTTGGTTGAATATATCTTTGAATACCTAAGAGGATACTTAAACAAAAATTGCGTTCTCTACTGTTTAGAATTGATGTTGGTGGAAAATTGCTAACTAATCAAATGAAAAATGTCATCTCATATAGGTGTGTTGTAAAAATTATGTTTTTTTCTATTGTGAACAGTGCATATTGTATATTTTAGACAATTATTAGTTATGAATGAAACGTACATAATTAATGAATTAAAAGAAAATGTTTGTTTTGTATCAACAGATTTTAATCATGATATGAAAAAGGCACGGTAATTAGCTAACACGAAAGACATCGTTTTATTTGGTTTATATCTCTTTCTGTCTCTCTCTCTCTTTCTTTTTTAGCCTTCCATTATCACAAAATACAATTACTATTGATTATGTTCTACCAGACTACGGTGAGATTAAAGAAGGTTACGTCCAACAACCATCGTTAAATTCATCAACAAATGACAATGCGAAAAAAAGTCAAATGAAAAATCAGGTTTCGTTAATTGACTTTAATTTTAACTATGTAGAAGTTTGTTTATACTAATAGCTCTGTGAAATTGTATGTTTAGATTGTACGTATGAATGTTGAACGGTTTAGTATTCCAGAAATATTATTTCGTCCATCAATAGTCGGAATTGATCAAGCAGGAATATCAGAATCGATCTATAACGCTTGTGAACGTTTACCAGAACGTATGTCTACAAATACAAAAACGATCTTAGTTCTATTTGGATTAATTGTTTAAATTTAGATATTCGTCCCAGTTTATATGGAAATATATTGTTAACGGGTGGCAACTGTCTATTTCCAAATTTCAAAGAACGATTGTAAGTCTTTGGGACATGCTCACTATCAATTACTACTCATAATTTGATGTTTTTCTTTTAGAGAACTTGATTTACGTTCAATGATACAAGATGATTATCCAATAAATGTGATACTACCGGAAAAGTATTATAAACTCATTTCTCATAGTACAACGTTCCTGTATTTTTTCTCTTTTTAGTCCGGTGACTTATGCTTGTCATGGTGCTTCACTATTAGCTAACTCGCCTACCTACAATGATTATTGTGTAACTAAGGCCGAGTACGACGAATTTGGTCAAAGTATATGTCAGAAAAAGTTTACTGAACATTTTTGAATATTTTTTTTTTTATATTTGTAAATAATACATATGTGTCAGATGCTGGTGTCAGAAATGTTTTAAAACGAATAAAATTCTATAAAAATAAAGTATAATTGTATAAAAGTCAAAGTTTGACACGTTCTACAATTCTGAAGATCATAATAACATCCAAAAAGTGTAGGATAAAATGTTCAACCCATTTGTGTGTTGATACTAAGTTTCAGATCTATCTGACTGTATGGAATATATGTAATCGACATTAAAAATAAATTTTGAAGCTAAGCAAGCGACACTATTTTAAATAATTTAATATATTTATTTGAGATGCAATATTTGATTTGTACTGATGAATCGCTAAGGAAAGATTTTATACAAAGATAAAAAGAATTTTTAGAATTATGGGTAAACGAAATATGAGACATGCCATCATTCAATACGTGTAATGTCAAAAGTATTCTGTTTATTGTTGAACGAGTTTTTTGAAGATCCTGTCAATTCCTCACTTTAAAGAAACATTGAAAAATTGTTTACTAAAGAATGCTCCAAAGTTTTGATTTTTAACTGGTGAAAAGTGTAATCCTTTTTTATCTTCTAAGTTCTTGGAAAAATGACGCACTTCACTTTTTCAATCATTAAAATACCCAACGACACGTGGCAATAATTGTCAACGACATCATTCTCTTGTCCGTAGGGAAACGATTACATGTTCCAATTCATATACTGGTGTTTGTTGTTGTGATTTGGCTACATTTGTGAACATTTGCGAACAATGCCTGTCTTCGTTTTGTGAATAGCTTCGCGACCAACCGAACATTTAGCGACAATGAGAAAAGATTTCTAGTAGAAAAAGTAGTTTTCGTGTTAGTACAAAGTTCAAAACAATGGTTATAGAATATGCCTGAACCAAAGTTAATTTATGATATTGCTAATGGATAGCTGATGGTATTGTTTATACAGACATCATAATTTTCTTCAATGTGCGACGTGTTTCTGGAAGTCATCCAAGTAGAACTCTAAACTGAATCTTTTTTTAGCGTATCTGCACACTTTTACTCATTTTTTTGTTTTGTTTTTTGATAAGACAAATGTATCATTCATTACTTTTCAGAAAAAAGCTTGAACTCAAAAAAGATTTTTGATTCGAATAACTTTTGACTTATAATTACGATGAAGAAAGTGGAAGAGAAATGCAAATCATACATTTCAAAAATCAAAATTTGTTCAAGGCGATCAAACTTTTTTTTTTCACAGGTTTAGAATTATCCTTTACTAAAACATTCACACTATTACTGACATATAAAATCAACCACCTTTGACAAAACGTTCCTGCTTGCTACAATATTCTGATGAAAATTCACCCCGTTTTTTTGCTGTTACAGTTGTTGTTAATCAACGGTACTTATTCATTTTATTTTGGCTCACCAAATAACAAGCAACGTCTTCATCATAAAAACAAAAACAAGAAAATTTTTGAACATTGTGTTTGCTTTAGTTGACGATTATATTTTTTCTTCTTGCTTTCAATTTTAATAAATTCCTGGTGATTGTTGTGGTAACGATTGTTGAGGTTGTTGTGGAAGATTTTGGCCTAAACCTTGTGTACCTATTCCGCCAATTAGCTGTTGTTGTTGAAGTGGAACCTGTTGTTGCTGTGGAAATGCTTCAGCTTTTTTTTCTTTCGATTCTGAATGTGGTTGTGTAACTGGTACATCGTCCTTTAAAAGAAGAGAAAAAAACGATATAGCTAGAAAGACAATAATCTAACTTGAACTTGATTTTATTTTACAAACAAAGCTGACTTTACAAAGAAAGAGCTGCTGTAGGAAGGTAGAAAAAGTAAAACATACTTATACACACCGCCATCAGGAGTAACAACACCACAAGAGAGAATACATGCTTATATCTATAGATTCACTCTTACGAAATAGAGTACAGAAATAACTGATAGTTCAGAAGCGTGATACTCTCACTATATTTGCTTTATCTCACATTCCATCTAAATTATATTTAAAAGATGCAGCAGAAAATTCTCTACAAGAACCTTCTAAGTTTTTCTGTACAGAGTATGTAGAAAATTTTCTATGAAAAACTCTTAAAGGCGCCAAAATATCAAATTTCATAAATCTGTCGAATTTGGCCATTTGTTCATTTCATCAACAAAATTCTGTATACGGAACGGTCATTATAGTCTACGTACTTTTCAAACACAATCTCTGAGTAGAAGAGTGGCCGATAACCAAAGAAAAGTCCTTATTAGTCAAGACATTTTAACATAAAAAAATTTTGATGTTTAACTAAAAGATAGGATTTTTTACAGACTATAAAATGGCTAGTTTAGGTTTCTTTTAGTTTTAAAGAGTATATCAGTCTAGTTTGAACAAGCTGCTTCATTGTCCATGATAAAGAGTGCACAGAAAAAAGGCCTTCCTACATTTTAATGCGCATTAACCCGTGAGAAGGAAAAAAATGGATTTATGAAATTTGATATTTTGGTGCCTTTAAGAGTTTTTCATAGAAAATTTTCTACATACTCTGTACAGAAAAACTTAGAAGGTTCTTGTAGAGAATTTCTGCTGCATCTTTTAAATATAATTTAGATGGAATATGAGATAAAGGAAACATAGTGAGAGTATTGTACTTCTGAACCACTCGTTATATAAAAGGTCTTTCTTGTTTCGAGAACCATTGTTTAAGATATCCCTTTTCAACAGACAAACTCAAGTTCCTAATCTTTTGATAAATACAGTGTGCTCGAAAAGATTCCATCTGACCAATGTTTTAATCAGTCTTACTTACTTTTGGTTGAACAATTGAGATATGATCAGGTAATGGTTTTCTCACACCTTTTCCTTCTAAAAAGAGAGAGGAAAAACGCGAGCATAGTAAAATAAAAGACTAATCATGATTTACTTTCATACCTTTGGGATCATATGGCAACATAATTTTAACTTTGATACCCAAAACTCCTTGTCGTAATAAAACATGTCTGACCGCCATTTGTACGTAATCATTAACCGGATCACCACTGTGTATCATTAAACCATCAACGAATTTCATAGCTTTCGCACGCTGACCACGTAATTTACCGCTAACAACTATTTCACAACCTTGGGCGCCTGACTCCATTATAAAACGTAGTACACCGTAACAAGCACTAAAAAGAATAATAACAGCTACAAATATCAGTTATTTTTGAAAAATAGTAACAATTTACCGTCTGACTGGTAATCCACCCATTAATTTATATCTTAATGATTCGGCTTGGGCAATAGCGCATAAACCACGTGTAACGACTTTTTGTGCAAATAACTAAAACAGAATAAATTATTTATTTTCAAGAAAAAGATATCTTATAATAAACAGACTTCAATTGTATTTTCTTGATAATCAAATCGTTTTTGTATAACGGATGTTAATTCTCTAATTCGACGCCCTTTTTCACCTAAAACTTGCTGTGTTTTAGTTGCCATAATAATGATTTCTGTACGTTGCGGTGTTACACGTATTTCTAATCCAGAATAACCATCCTCAGCTAATTCACGTGTGAAAAATTCATTTAGTTCCGCATGAAATACACCTTCACGTATAAACTAAGAAAATATCATCCAAAAGATTAGACCAATGAGTATTAATAAAAAGAAATTCATATATACCTTTCGTTTTTTGGAAATATTCGTCGAAGTAGTCATAGTGATGTTACACCAGTGTCTGGTATATCTAAAAAAACAACAAGTTGCTCTTCACATCATCGATATAAAATTGTTCGAGCAAAAGATCATAAGAACTGATAATCAGACTAACTCGTTGGCATTATCCTTCTAACTCTAGAAAATTATTCGAAAGAGATCTAACTCTAAGACAGCTAACAATGGATTTCTACTTCGCAATACATAACTAATTATTCATAATACACTGTTGTCTTTTTATTCTTTTCTTCAATCAGATTAGAAATCACAGAATAATAACAAAAAACGGTTTTTAAATTTTATTTTTCTAGTGAAGTGGAAAAAATCATCTTTTTCAATTAATAAACACAACAGAAAACTTGAACAGCTGCATGAGTTGTTTGATTTTTCCATTAAAACAAATTTATATTCTTGATGGATATAACATCTAAAATTGAATGATTGACATATAGATCAAAATTTCAATATTGAACACACTAAACATACCACTCTTATACGTCTTCCCATGGCTTTTGGTGGTAAATTTCGTCGGAATTTTGCTCTTACCGCTCCACTTTTTCCATGTGCACGTGTCACTTTACCCCATATTATTCGAACTCGATTTACACGTTTTTGACCAGGAACTAATGTTTTACTGTAATGGACAAAAAAAAGATAGTATGTAAGCAAGCGTGAGAGTGATTTATAGGTCGAAATATGTTATTATCTTCGTTGTTTCAGAATACAAGTACAAGTGGAAAAAGTCTACTATAGCGTTCTTAACTAAATTGCCGAAACACTGGAGTTTACTGCAAAGTTAAATGCACTACTCTAGAACTATATACTGTAAAACTATGCAACTGACTCGGTGCTTTTTGATCTTGTGTATTATTTTTTTCTTTTCTATACACTTTTACGATCTCGGGCCACAAATGTTCTGTGGGACTAGAAGATTTCAGTTTTATTAAAACAGCAGGAAGAAAACGGATCTACCACAGAAATACTTTTAGAATACCAGGAGATACATCTTTACCATTCACTGTCAGACACAAAGGAACTGTAGAAATCTTACTTTTTTGCTTTGTACACATACGCACAACGTTTGCCAAGATAAAAATTTGTGTCACGTCGTTCATTAACTCCATCTAGTTTTAATAAAGCCGTATTTTCATGCTGATTACGTTTACCGCGGCGAAATCCAACGAACACTGCTTTCACATATAAACTAAAATGAAATTAAAACAAATAATAAAATATTGCAGTCTTATACACCATATTATGGGACTTACCGGCCTTTTTTGGTAGTTTTAATATCAGGTTTTTCGACTTTAGCTGACATTGTGTAAAAAC